CAAGGCCTCGAACAACCAAACGTTTGAACCAGACCTGCCACTGGTCCACGTAGGCACTTGCATGTGTTCGGATATCAGAGATGCAAAACAATACTATCCGTAAACAAACAATAATTGGAACATATGAAAACTATGGAAATCTTGACAACACCCCAAAATGCAGATAAAAGGAACACAGTAGGCAAAATAACTCGTGCTACTAGAAGAACCAATGTCCAGAAATGAACCACGATGTATGGCCGCCCGAATGTGTGTTGTGGGGCCATAGGGTATCTATGGTTGAGGATGCTCCCCAGAACCCATGGAGTAGGCTTATTCGCTCCCCCCCTCCCCCCCCTTTTCTCCTCTCTTCCCAAAACCACTGTACATCCGAGGGAAAGTTCAGGAGCCTGGACCCCCTTGAGCGATGTTTTTGTTTTCTTTTGGCTGGTGCTGCCAGCCATTTTGTTGAAACGCCAGCAGAGTGTTGCTGTTTTCTTTTGACTGGCGCCGCCAGCCATTTTGTTCTGGTTGCACTGTTCATTCAAACTTTTTGGGTTGATCAATCGTGATTCTCACTTTCTCAAGTTGATGGGGCCATGTGCTGGTGGTTTAAGATGCTGAGCTCACACCAGGCAAAGTTGGGGATGCGAAGGGGGAACCTGACCATGGGTTGGCAGGTGGTCTGAATTTGAGAGGTGTTGGAAGTAAGTCATTTATGCTCGTTGTCGGTGATGAAGTCAGGTGAGGTAGCCTTGAGCTGTGATGAAGTCAGGTGAGGTAGCCTTGAGCTGTGCACGAGTCAGTCAACGATCCGTGCTAGAGTGGCGATAGGAAAAGTGCACCTTAGACTTCATTGGCTTTTTCTCATATGTCCACGCACTATGCTTTTGAAGGCTGTGCATGGAAGGAAGGTTTTCCAAGCGTTGTTTGTGGAAGAAGTCACTCTTTTCCTTTTGTCACCCTAACATTGATAGTTGGCTGACACCCGTCACAATTCAAGCCTATGGCTCCCTATGGCTGCCTCACTCCCCCCTTTTGAGATGGTGGTGACCTGGTGCCCAGGCAAAGTTGGAGATGTGGAGATCGTTCTAAACGGACTCCCATTCTAAGTCAGTCTTTGTAAACAGCCAAAGTAACTCAACAGACTCCCATGCCAAGGCACCCTTTCTAAACAAACAAAGTAACTAGTGCTGGTTGGCCTCTTGCTGCGTACGTTCTATGCCTTTTGCTGTTTGTTCCAAGTTTTGAAGATCGTGTCACACATCTTGTGCTGACGTGCAAGTGTGCTGCGGACATTTGATTCAGCTAAACGATGAATGAGGGAATACGTGAGGAAACGAGTCAGCTGTCCTTGCCCAAGCACAAACGGGGACACACTGATCGTCAAATACAGTGAAGTGTTATATGCAAAGGCAACATGTGAAGTGTTTTATGCAAAGGCAACCTGTGGAGGCCTTTGGAGCATAATTGCTGCTGTCTCATGGGTCTCCCCTTTTGGCCGTTGGTCCTAGGATGATGGGCAAATGTTTTGATCCCTTGTTATATCCTTAGGAAGCCCCTTATGTCAAATCCTACCTGAATGAAAATTATCTGGCAGCTCGTGAACCTTGACATGATGTTTGCATGGAAGAAAATGTGTGAATCGGGTTGGATGGCAGACAGTGGTCATGCTGTCATAAGCAAACCTATTGTGCAGAAATGGCCTGGTGACATCCATAGCAATCGAGACACTAAGCTGAAGGAAATCAGTAGAGGCCATGGCTTGGAAACCTTGGTAGGACACACGATATTTGTGACATTGGTCACTAAGCCCGACCAGTAAAGACACTAGGACAGTTGATACATGGATGACAAGCACACGACCCAAACACACCACCCATGGCTCTGCAGGCTAACACCTAACTATAAGGCTAAGTGGGCTGGGGTGAAAGTGAAGCCCCAAGATGAGTACTACCCCACCCCAGCATGGAGACCCCATGACACGGTGTACCCAACTACACTCATCTTCTACACAGCCACTCTAGCGTAGTATAACCTCTATGGCAGTTACTGCATGAAAACACTTGCATGACGAGCACATGACTGGAACACACCTCATGACTCTGTAGGCTAAGACCAAACCATAAGGCAAAGCGGGCTGAGGTGAAAGTGAAGCCCCAAGATGAGTACTTCACCCCACCCCAGCATGGGAATCCCGCGACACGGTGTACCCAACAACGCTCATCCTCTATGTAGTCACTCTATTGTAGTATGACCTCCATGGAAGTTACTGCGTGAAAGCACAGTAGAGCAATAGAGCGATCAACTCCAAGTTGCATTGCAACAATGGTGTAGTTGCCAGGTATTGTCCCTCACAAAGTCGCTCCGGGGGTATCCTGCTTGTGCGAATGAAGTAGAAACCCATCTTCGGTAGGATAGGTCTTCGACAATTTGGAATCTGAGCAGATCCTGAACACTGGCTCAGTGCATGCACCAACGTGGATGTTGCACCCGCGACACAGATCCCCCGACTCTTCGACAACTTGGAATCTGAGCAGATCTTGAACGCTAGGTCAGTTTGCTTCTGTGTAACTGAAGACGTAAAAGGAGTACAGAGTGTTGGGACTCTCTTCAGGGTTTCTGTTACATGGATCCGGAGTGCAGTGGACCGAACTCTGAGGAAGCTTCAGAAGTCAGCCGTATCTTTGTGGCGCAATGATGGTGGACTTGAGGAAAGGAACACAAGCCATTGTAAATTATAGCAGTCAAAGTGCTCAGTATGTGGACCATTCCCTCTTCATGCGAGAAGAATTGGTCCACGTTCGATCCGGGACACACAAAGAGGAGTTTGCTGAGCCTAGACAACCTGCAAGAAGTTGCTTCGCATGGCAAGGACAAAGATTGACTTTTTCAACATTGAGTGGCTTGAGTGGGAACCGGAGGGTGTTGCCCCATTTGACGGGTTCATCCGAGATGGGGAGTACAACCCAATGGAGATTAAGAGGAGGGCTGGGAACTGGTCCAAATCTTGCATCCTCAAATCGATGGCGGCAAAAATTGGCATACAGCCACTGCTGCATGAGCCCACTGATGATTGCATGTGGCTCTTCGATCTCTCGTAGCGCCCTCGGCGTTTGGCAGATGACGGCCTTGGGAAGACTGTTGATGGAGCTGTTGAGGAGGATAGTGAGGACAGAGCGGATGACGAGGAATTACTTGGCATGCAGCTTATGGATTGGCGCCGGACCGGTCAACCGGGTGGCGCGTCTTCTTGCATTGCACGTTACAACATTGCAGCACTGGAGGTCCCTGCATCCAAAGCAAGTTCGGTTGCCGGTCGTGCCTCTTCGCCTGCCCCTTTTGACAAGCCCGCAGCATGAGGTGTTCTTGCACTAGGAGGGAGCGTTAAGGCATGTGGTGCAGCTTCACCATGTAGGACTTGCTCACTTTTGGGCGCACAGCTCGTCCCTCATCGGCGGGTTGTGCGTCGGGAGCTAGCCAGTGCCAGTGTCACCTACCGCGGGGTCGGCAGACACGGCAGGGGACAGCACAACAGTGGCAGGCAGTTGTTGGTATGTGGGAGGATGATCAGGTCGCTGGGGCTTCAGATGTTGTCGAGGAAGGTACGACTGTTCAAGGCCATGTAGTTGTTAATGCACACGGGGACGACCTGGTCCTTGAGGCAGGGGAGGCCATTATGGCTTGGGATGCTGATGAGGAGGTTGCTTGTGTAGCCCTATCATCTAGCATGTTGGGGGAGAAAATCACCTCAGTTTTGCCCCATGCTATATGAAGGTGTTTGATTTGCCTCCTTTGTCCACGTTGTGGTCAGACGAGGGGTCATACACTCCTGATTGGGCCAGACTCACTGGACTTACCCCGCGCGTTCCATGGTTCAATGAGGACAGTGCACCAGCGGCTGCGGAGGGCTCACATGCCCAGGTGTAACGGCGGAGGACCCCTAGTGTTTAACTTGGCACACATATGCGTCCATTGGACAGTGCTGCAGGACGTCCCACGACGTCTCCGCCTGAAATTGATGACAGCATAGTGCGCAGAGTGAAGAGCTTGTTTGGTGGAAAGAAAGGGACAAAGAACAAGCCAAAGGAGGCAGTGGCATTGTAGATGAGAGGTGGGAGGGATATGTCACACAAGACCATTGCACCACCAGAGGGCTTGGAAGAAAAGCGTGCTGTTGTTTGAGAGGTAAAGATGAAGAAGGCGTAAAAAGTACAAAAGAGAGTTGCTGCAGCCGCATGATCACTGAGCTGTCCTGCATGGAAGAAGAGGAAGTGTGTGCAAGAGAATGACAAGGCGAGCAAGTCGTCTGAGCGGCCCGACCCATCAGGTGCTTCGGCTTCTCCTCCTCCTGCACCAGTGTTGACAACGTAGTCAAGTGACACAAGTAGCGAATGAAACTGTGCGAATGGAGAGAGAGAGAGAGAGAGAGAGAGAGAGAGAGAGAGAGAGAGAGAGAGAGAGAGAGAGAGAGAGAGAGAGAGAGAGAGAGAGAGAGAGAGAGAGAGAGAGAGAGAGAGAGAGAGAGAGAGAGAGAGAGAGAGAGAGAGAGAGAGAGAGAGAGACTCCGAAATGCTGCAAGTGTCCCCCCACTTTGCCCCAACTCTGCATCCCCTCAATCCAATGACATGCCCCCCCAAACAACCACTCAGAACCCTCAACCAGCCCCAGCCTGCTCCCCCCCGCCCCTGCCAAGACAAATTGCAGCAATCCAAAGTTTCTCAGCGGATGCGGGCTGTACAGCAGTAGCGCAGTGCAGCCACAAAATCAGGTTTTAAGAATACTGACTGGAGGGCCTTCTGCCGACCGGTCGGTGTTCAGCGGGGGTGCAACCCTGCTACACACACACGAGAGGCAGTTGGATTCCACATATTGGATGTGTGGATACGGTTTTGTTGCTCTGACATAGAAATCCGGTCATGCCTTTGCTCTTATTGCCTTGAGAATGATAATCTATCAGCTATGGCTGCGACTGATTTACAGGCATGGGTGGATGTTGTGGGAACTGTGGGGCTTTGCAGACACCCTGTGGTCATAATTTTTGCTTGAGGTGTTTTGAGAGGTGGATTTCCCAAGGGAAGCGGACTTGCGTCAAGTGTCGCGCGAGCTTGGACAAGTTTGCGTCGAACTTCCGTATCAACTCTGCATTGGTTATGGCTATCCGCTTAGCTAAACAAGCTGCTACCTCCGTAGAGGGCCGCCCTCCTCCCAAGGCATATCACAACATTGCAAATGAGAACCGTCCCGACAAGGCATTCACAACGGAGAGAGCGGTGAAGTCGGGAAAGGCAAATGCTTGCAGTGGCCGCATTTTTGTCACAGTGCCTCCGGACCATTATGGACCAATCACAGCGGAATATGATCCTCAGAGAGGAACAGGAGTGCTTGTAGGAGAGTGCTGGGAAGATCGAATGGAGTGCCGGCAGTGGGGTGCGCACTTGCCACATGTTGCAGGAATTTCAGGGCAAAGTGAGTCTGGAGCCCAATCTGTTTGTTTGTCGGGTGGCTATGCAGATGATGAAGATCATGGAGAATGGTTTCTGTACACTGGAAGGTGGGTGGGGGGAGGGTAACTCTTCTGAATTTGGTGATGTGTTTTGTTCTTCGTGGAAATGATCAATCGCATGTATCTGATGACCTGTTTGGGTTCTCCTGTTTTTGACTTCTTTTAAAAGGGGGTATTATGCCTGACATATACAGCTTGTTCCATCTGTATGTGAACTCATGATCTGTTTTCTAGTCACATTTGTACTCGTTCAACCACATGGGCTGGGTCTTCCTGGGTTCGCCAGCCGATTTTGGGCAAAAGGCCCTGACTTGGGCAGTCCTGAAGGTTGCACTGAGGTGTTTGGGAGTGTGATGGACGTTATGCCTTTCTTTTTTGGTAAAAACGGATAAGGGACAGGATTGTGTAGTATGTGTACCATTTAGCCATAGTGTTGGGGCTTTTGAACTCTTCCTATCGTCCACTGTGCAGTGTGTACAGTTTATTTGCTTCCTGGTAAGGAGTTCTAACCGTGCAGCTGTTTGGACCATGACATGTTGTAGAGGAGCAAAGGACAAACAAGTGAAGAAAGTGTTACGATCCTGGTTATTTCCAAAGTCGAAATTCGCAAGGAAAGACAATGCCACCCAATTGCGAAAGAAATGAAAGCACTTGCAACGAAATAGAGACCAAAGAAGAAGAAGAAGAAGAAGAAGAAGAAGAAGAAGAAGGTGTACACCAGCAAGACCAATGACAAATCCCCCTTCTCTCTCCACCTTCCTCCTCCTCCTTGTCTTCACCAATCCTATTGTTCTCAATACTAATAATAACAATGAGTGGTTGAACCAGAATCTATATCCGAAGTGCCCTCTTACTGCCAGCACAACAATAGGTCCACCATAGCCATGGCTTCCCCGTTCACCTTCCTCTCGCTGCCCAGGCTATGGCGGACTACTGAGGGCTCTGCCCTCCTGTGCAAAAGATAACTCAAAGCTGCTATGGTCGTCGTTCTTTAGGCCACCATGACTCTGCCTTGAAGCTTCCTTGGTGCGGAACCACCCCAACTGGGCACTTCCAGATGCAGCGCCGAACAAGGTGATGAAGATGGTGTTCACCATAGCCAGGTAGGTACCTTGCCACTCTCCTCCTTCGCCCCCTTCTTCCTCCTCCTCAAGCTGGGCTGCTCACCCGAGCCAGGCTGAGCGACCAGCTCCTCTTCGTCCTCCCAGGCAGCGCTCTGAGTCCAGTGCTTGCTCAAGCAGTATGTCGGCCAACCTTGCACACTGCAAATGAGGAGGGGCTACTTGCTCCTCCTGGAGATATAGTGGCCTACTTGCCTCTTGGGCGGTGACTTCCAGGCCGCGCAGCCTCCAAGCAACCAGTACCTCCTCCCTTTCGGAGGGAAACACCATTGCAGGCTCTGATATCGTTCGTACACACGCTAGACTCAGGCTACTTGGACTGGTACTAGCCTACCACTACTGGGCCTCTAAAAATGGCAACTTTTTGTCTTCTTCTGCTCGGCTTCGAGTACTCGACACATCTTGAGTACTTGCTACTCGAGTGTTTTTTCCCACTTTTCTAAGTGTTGCAGGCGTACCCCCCTGCTACTTGAGTGTTTTTCCCTGCTGCAGCCGTCAAAGTCACGGCCACAGGTAAGTGCTGGCCCTGCGGGGCCTCCAAACTAACAAGTACCCTTGCGGGTCACATACACACTCAGGCCGACAAGCACTCAGGCAGGCACGCACACACACAGACTTAGAAAACTCAGCAGAATGCGGGAATCTCAGCAAGGCATACATTCCAGCGGCAAAACCCAGAAATCAGCAGTGTTCTCAGTCTGTGTTTTGGCGGGTCATTGCAGAAGGGAAAAACCGTACACCATTGCAGAAGGGAAAAACCGTACACGTGGTTAACGGGGGACCCCCAGTTTGAGCTCCTGAGTAACAGGTCCAAAACTGAAATTACGGTTTGGGGGTGAAATTTTATGTTTTTTTTTTTTGCCTGTTTTTGTCTTACAACAAGGTTGTTGTGTACCAAATTTGGTCTCATTTGGAGCATTGGAATTTCCTCTGATAAGACCATTTCCAAAAACGCTGAAAATTCTGAAACTTCGCTGAATCCAAAATGTCATTCACGTGCACTTTTGCCTTACTGTTTCACCCTTTTTTTTTTTNTGCAGTGTGCACTCTATGGAATGATGCATTTTTTGGTTAAAAATGGCTTCTGCTTTTCTTATAAATAGCATTAAAAAAACGCTGAAATTTTGGGTCTCCGTTAACTGCCTCTCAGGTTTTGAGGGTTGGGAAGCAATTCAAGAGTCCCTCTCTGCCGTCTCTAAGTTCAGCAGTAGGGAAAGCACACATTAGAGGTGCAATAAGTTATGATGGGCTAGCGAGTAGCGGCATGGTTGTGTCAATGCCGCCCTCTCTCTCGCCCTCTGTCTTTGTGTCTGTGCTCTCTCTCTCACACACAGCCTGCCTATCTGTAGCTGTGTCGACTTTGCCGTCTGCCTATTCATCTTCCCGCCTTCCCTCATATGGGTCCGTTCATATACCTGCTGGCTCACGTATGCTGCTGTCCACCTGCCTGCCTGGTCGCCTGATTTCCCAATCCGTCCATCCCTCCATCTGTCCATCATCTTGCTCTCTTTGTGTTGGTCAGTCCATTTGTCTGTCCTGTCCGTAGCGTCATCAGTTTGCCTGCCAGCATGCCAGGTTAGACATACTGGGAATGTGGCATTTATGAAATTAAGTTTGGGAGGCATCGTATATGGGAGGGTCCCACCTTTAACAATCAGTGTGCATCTGTTGATGAGTCGTTTTTCTTAAAGCCACCACCAGCTCCGAGTCTCTTTTCGCCGAGGTGGAATAAATGCGTGCCAAGCTTTGCCAAAATGCCAGTGTGACTTTCTTTTTTTTCTTTTGGCTGGTACCGCCAGCCATTTTGGTGCCACCTGCAATAATCAGTGTTGAGCCGTTTTACTTGAGCCTTGCTACCTCCGAGCCTCTTTTTGCCGAGGCGGGATAGAACTGTGCGCCAAGCTCTGCGGAAGCGTCGGTGCAACTTTTTTTTTTTTTTTTTTTTTTTGGCTGGTGCCACCAGCCATTTCGGTCTGGCAGCGCTCAGCCTCCTAAGAATGCGGTATGTTCGTTTCGAGTTTGCCTGTGAAAGGTAGGGGCGGTTTGATGGGGGATATTTTAATACAAATCTATAGATCGAATGCACACTCAAATCCATGCCGGATGAGTGGATGTCCATAACTGACATGATTTCTGACATCAAAGCTGCTTTTTAGTGTCTGTTCTCTGGACCCTGTTTTGTGAAACTTGATTCGCTGCGGCCCTGGAAGTTCAATATATGTAGTGTTTACTGTGAGATTCCCTTTCGTACTCAAGTCAATCAAGTCCTTACAGTTAAGATTCCCTTTCGTACTCAAGTCAATCAAGTCCTTACAGTTAAGGTTCCCTTTCGTAGTCGTGTCAAATCAAGTCTCTAGAACCGTATGTGGCTCGGAGGGTTCACACTGCTGGGGACGGTCAGATCAATGTTCAGGTTTGCAATACTTGTAAACAGTACACCAGTACACTTGTATAGTCGCTGACTTTGCCCTAGTAGCAGCATCAGACACCTGTTGAATCCTGTTTGAGTGGCTAGGATTTCACCCTGTAAGTTGGAAAGGGTCTGTGTCAGGTTGGGCCTTGCACAAATGAAAGGCTCGGTGATCTTTTGCAGCTCCACATTCGAATGTGTCTTTTGAAGGGACAGCCAGAGGGCTGATAGATAGATACAGGGTGTCTTGGAAATATGTGTAGTGGGATTTTTCACCGATCCTCTGGGGCTTAAAATATAAATGAACTGGTGAAACTCCGATGTCACAGGCCTCCCTCTCTTGTCCTTTCCCCCCTTTCTGCTTACAGTTCACCCGGCAGTTCTCTATGACCAGATATTAAGCGGCGTTCCACCTTCCCGCCCCCGTCTCTTCCACAGTCTCGCTTGCGAAAACAGCCTGTGCTGTTTCCATTGTTCCCCTTGTTCCGCCTTTGCTGCGGAGACATGCTCATCTTACTGTGTATTGTTGACATCATGCACTGCATTCTCTTATCTGGGATCAGCAGCCTGTTTCTTTGTTTGCCTCGATTCTCTCTGTGCCTGCTTGTTCCAAACAACAGTGGGCCTCACCACACCGCTCACAAACACAAAAACAATGCGAGTGCATCGTCCTGCAGAAGTTGGCAATCCAGCCGGCTTCTGCAGGAAGATGAACTTTCATTGTTTTCTGTTTGTGAGTGGTGACGAAGCCCAGTATCCGCTCCTATGCCCCCTGCAGACAGTCCAACTTCCTGTAAGCAGCCACGCGACCGTGTTTTTATGCCCTAATACATGGGATATTCACGAGTCACTTGCAGAGCAGGATACGATTCCTGCCCAGGTTTCACTATCCATCGAATGGGCAGTCCCCACTCAGGATGCAGCCTCAAACATCCTGGGATTAGAACATGATTCTCCCGAGCTGCAAATTGCCCCACAAGGCGTAGACCACATGGGTGCTCTGCGAATGGCTGACCAGCATCATTTGACTGAAACTCGAATTGCGCACCAAGGTGTAGACCACATTGACAGTGGTGCATACATTAAGAATGTTGTGTAGTGGAGTGAGGCCCGTACACTATGCACTGGCATTTTCCATTCTGGGCAGCGGTCGGTGAGAGCTTGCACTTTCGGCACGCCCATTTTGTGCAGAGCCCAGAGTCCCCCAGACTGCAGCTGGCGCTGCCCAGAAACAAATAGGCAGATTGGCGGAACAGATTACGAGTTGCGTGCAAAGAGGCACGAGGATGTGCACATTCTCTCTCTCTTTCTCTCTCTCTCTCTCTCTCTCTCTCTCTCTCTCTCAGCGGTGTTGTGCGTGAAGGTGTGGAGAGATCCGCTCACGCTCAGCCTGAAAACAAAATAGGTAGGTTCACTTGGTGTGGTGAAGTGCACCTTGCATCTTTCTCTCTTTCCTTCCCTTCCCTCCCTCCCTCCCTATTTCCCTCCATCCACTGATTTGTTTAGGGCTGCAACTCCCTTTTTTGTGGGGGTGCTATGGGTGGCTTTGTGCGGCGTCGCAAAGTGCATCCCGTCTCTCCCTCCCACCTCCCTCCCTTCATGCATCCCTCCCCCTTTCCCTCCTTCCCTCCCTCCCTCCATCCATCCATCCACCGATTTGTTTAGGGCTGCAACTCCCTTTTTTGTGGGGGTGCTATGTTCCAAGTGGGACATGATTTGTGCACGGCTGCTATCTGTATAGCGGAGATCATGCGGTAAATGTGGAGAGGCAGGTGGAAAAGGAACACAATGGAGAGGTCAGGTACCTGGTCATCCAGGAAGGAGCAGGTGAGAGGTCTGTGCCAGAAAGGGTGTCTTAGTGTGAGGAGAAGGTTGCCTTCAAAATCTTGAGGAGCTAGAGTAGTAGGAGGAAGGGGGCATCATGGATCAGGAGGATGAGAGGGTTGGGATTTGGTTGGTCAGGATGGGATCCTGCAAGAGAGGAAGGAGAAGGATTGTCACTGTGATAGGGTGAAGCATGCAAGCATATGGGATCAGGAGGATGAGAGGTTCAGGAGCAGTCTGTCAGGATGGGAATCCTGCAACAAGGAGCGAGAAGGACAGTCAAACATGATAGGGATCGGGAGGATGAGAGGGTTGGGATCGACCGGTCAGGCTGGGGGTCCTGCAACAAGAATTGAGGAGGACAGTCAAACATGATAGGGTGAAGCATGCAAGGATGTGGGACGAGGAGGATGAGAGGGTTGGGATTTGGTCTGTCAGGATGGAGATCGTGCAACCGAGAAAGGGAAGGAGAGTCACCTCGATAGGATGAAGCATGCAAGGTGAGATTGTCAGCGTTAAGGAGGTTGTTGAGGGGGAAGACATTAAGGAGGATTCTAAGTAAATGGAAGGAGGATGTAGGCCGGGGACCCAATTTGTGAACAAGGGGATGAGGAGTGCGGATTGGAAGGGGGCAAATCGGGATGTGAGATCGAGCGGAGGAGAAGGTTAGAATGCCAGCCAATGAGGGTGAGGATGTGGGGACGGAGGAAGTGTGGGAGAAAGAACGCCAAGGCAACTGGGTAAGGGCTGCAGGTCATGGAGGGGGATCTGGACAAGGTGGGAAAGAACAGATTGGAAGGCAGGAAGATGGGCTCAGCACGAAGGGAGGGGAAAACTTGTAAGGAGGGAGCAGGATAACGGGGAAGGTCCTGAGTCATGAAAGGGATAGGGTAAATGTGGATAGCAGGTGGTGAAGGAGAGTCATGAAGCGGAAGGAGAGACAGGAAGAGAGGACGGGACGTATCAGATCCACAGGGGCCACATTGAGTATTGGAGTAGGAGCTCGAAGAGTATCTGAACGGACAAGAGAAAAGAGTCAAGAAATACGGGAAGAGAGGTGACTGCCACAGGAGATGGAATTGAACAGGTGGAAGGAAGGCAATGGAGAAGGACGAAAGGGAAAAAAAGTGTGTGTGTGTGTGTGTGTGTGTGTGTGTGTGTGTGTGTGTGTGAGAGAGAGAGAGAGAGAGAGAGAGAGAGAGAGAGAGAGAGAGAGAGAGAGAGAGAGAGAGAGAGAGAGAGAGAGAGAGAGAGAGAGAGAGAGAGAGAGAGAGAGAGAGAGAGAGAGAGAGAGAGAGAGAGTTGAAGGGAGGGGTGTAGGTTCCGTTCTTTTCAGCCTTTGATCCTAACTTTGTTAATTGAAGATCCCTTCTGGCTCTTCTGTTGCTATGAGAATGATTTGTCTCACTCTGTCTTTTCTACGAAGAGCTTGTAATTTCATCGAGTATATAATTTGTTCAAATGGTCATATATTATTTGTAAATACTAATCCACAAAACAATCAAATAATTCAGAAAATGGCAAAAGAAACATGTCAAAGTTATATAAATCATAAATGGATTGGAGTTTTTTTAACCAATTGGAAGCACATTTTTCATGTACAAGCGCATTTTCAACACTTTGAAAACTTGTCACTCAAAGCTTTAGATACAGCACAATATATTCACGAGGTGCCGCGTTATGGAAAAAATGAAAAATAAGATTTGTGAACACTATGCGGTTAACGTGTCAACACTAACTCTGTCTGACTGTTTATGAATGTTTTCTGCTTGACATTTTCTTGCTTGCTTTTGTTTTGCTCCTCTTGCAGTGGTGGTCGTGATTTGAGCGGGAACAAGAGAACAACGAGTGTGCAGTCATTTGATCAGGAGTTCACAAAGCTAAACAGGGCATTGCTGCTAAGCTGCAAGAGGGGTTTTCCACTTCGTGTTGTCAGGTGGGAACCGTGACACTGATGCGGGCTGCATTTGGAACTCCGCGTTTGTTGTGAAGTGTTGACGTTTCCTTTTTCATGACTTGCCAAATTAAATCCTTTGTAGGTTGAGTGGTCGACGAATCTTAACCGAGCGCAGAAGCTGGTGGAATTGGGAGTGTTTGGGCAGGTGTCTCAGGAGAGTTACATGCATTCAATGGTGTTGACAGCTGAAACTCGATCAATTGTTTTTCTGCTTGACTTGTGGTTATTCCACCCTTGCTCTCTAACCACATTGGTGACTATGTGATCTGGGAGTTGACTCCGGTCAGCTTTTATGGCGTTCAATGTGTGTTCAAGAAGTCTGATCGTACACACACACACACACACACACACACACACACACACACACACACACACACAGAGTCAACTTCCAAATGCATACGAATGAGCATCATTAAGAGAACAGACAAAATAGAATCCGAAGATCTGCTGAAAAATGAATCGGAGTATACCTCCCCCAAACATGATTTTGCCGAGTTGAAAGCTGAAAACCGAAGCAGAAAGCACACCAAATTAGGAGCAAACAATACACCAGATTTTCTTGATAAAGGAAGCCCGCCATCCGCCTCCAATCATCAAAACAGCGACAATGTAGTAGCCCTACTTGCGCCGTGACTGCTGTATCTACTTCCTACTGCGTCTACCATACTAGCCTATTTACAAGCTGACTCTCTGTCCACATGCCGCACGCCCAATACTGCTTGAGGCCTCTTCTCATACAGGCTTCCTCCACCAACACCAGGTAAGTACTGCCAGCCCCACTGCAGTCCTTCCCCGACCTGTCTGTGCACTCTGCCACCCAGTTTCCAGCGCCCAGCTATTACTGGCGCTATCCTCACAGCCAGCGCAACTGTTCTCTCTCTTTCCTCTGTGCTGCTCGTGCTAAAGTTTCACAGAATCTTCGTCAAAACCATCAGTACATAAGACTCCCTTTCGCCCTAGTGAAATAATTGACCCATCATCTAACCACCAGATAGCTAATGACAATGGTGTAAGATGATTCAACCATCGACGTCGAATAGCTAATTTATTTTTGTCATGCGTTATTTTATGAATTTCTGTAAGTTGAGGGAGAGCACGACTTTGAAATAACAATTTTGTATTTTGACTATAACCACTTTTTTCAGAAGGTATCCAGCCGCACTGCCGCTTGCAGCAAATGCCCGAATTTTGTCTCGGCTGGGCGCCCTCCCCTCGTTTGTGCTCGTCTGGAGGCAATGCCTGATTCTACTGGGACTGCACCCAGGTCCCAGCCTCTGTAACTAACTCGCACGCTGGGCCTACTGGTTATCTACAGGTGGTGGCCTGCTGCTAGGCCGTTTGGGCCCCCAAGCCGGTCTTCACTTTGAGCCGGCCACAATTTGCCACACCCGCCTTCACTTAGGGCTGGCGGGGCCTCTTTTGACACAGCCGTGGAGCCTGGAATATCCCAGGTTTTTGCGGTGACAGTTTACAGCGCACACACACACATGCTTCCTCCCTACCCATGTGTACTACTAACAAATGCATGTGAATGAGCATCATTAAGAGAACAGACAAAATGTACAGGAGTATACCCCCCTTTTTACTTTGTCTCCTTTCATAACGTGCAAGTGTGCCGTTAAGGCACATGGGCAGCTGGCGCTCAACCACAATGAACGTGACCAGCGTTGTATGTGAGAGGCGGAGTAAGAAGGGAGCTGCAAGAACAAATAGAGGGGGTAAAGATAGTTAAGAAAGGGATATAACGGATCTATTCTGCTCCATGTTGCTTGTATAGAGGTAAAACTGTTTCATTGTCTGCAACGGAGGTAAAGTTGCAACGATTTTGGATCTACTTATCTGGGTGGAACAGGGGCTGTTCTGGTGAAAATCTAACACATACACACACACACACACA